CCCCGCGCAGCAAGTCCAAAATCAAGAGGCCGAGTTAGCAAACTCGGCAAGTGGATTTTGAGGCCTCTTATGATGACGTACATGACGAAAGTGCTGTAAATACCGAGTAAAACGGATGTGCTCTTAAGATGGTTGTAAGCAAGTGTAGTTGGTAGGGGGGGGGGCGCCTACTACTACTACTACTGCTACTGCTACAGATACTGATACTGATACTGAGACTAACAACAATAATCGTAATGACAAGAATAATAAGCGTACTAGTAATGGTACTAGTACTTGTACTAATACTAACAACAACGAAGGAATAACAATACTAACAGTACAGTATTACTGATTGTTATCATTGTTATCGCATGGATGATGATGGTTGTGATGCTTATTATTACTTTTATTGTCACTACTGTTCTTTTCATACATTAAACATAGTATCATAAAAGTACGCTTTCATGCAGTAAAATATCCCATAATACAGCATAGTATTCTACAACATAATAGAACATGACATAGCCCAATGGAATAGGTTATAGTATATCATACCACAGAATGACATAATAATACGTTATAACATAACACCGCATTATGTAGCCTAATACAGTGTATCTCAATCTAGTTTAATTTAGTATAAAGTGCCATAATGCAATACAATTCGGGACAAGATACTGTAACGGAATGTAATATGGAAATTCTAAGCTGGACGGCCATCCCATGCAGTGGCGGAGCGGGCGATATGTTTTCGCGGTGACTCAAGTTCGCGGCCTCTTTTATGTGGGCGCCTCTTGCGAGACCATCCTCGTTCTTACCTTGGCTGCACGGTCGTGTGGCAGTGTGCAAACACCTCTCTTCCTGGGAGAGAGTAATTAAGATACACATTCGTTGGAGGTCAAAGGAAACATCAACATCAATCCGGCGTTGGGCATGAAAGTGATGGTGCCACACCAGTGTGCCAAAGTTCGCTCGGTGGGGTATGTGGATGAGCTTGACTACGGGCTGCTGTCTGTGCACACTACTACCCGACGACTGAAGATGCCAGGAGCGCCCCTGTGTCGTATGCATCGGAGTGTTTGTGCGAGTATCCCTTGCATGGGACCTGCATGGGATTTTGCGGTGATTGTATATATTTTCAACTTGTAGCTACGTGTCCGTATGCGTCATGCTTAACAGCTGCCAGGGCTTTCCTACTTTGTCCTTGCTGTGCTGAAGCTGCGCGTGGCCTGTGAATCATCCCCCCAAAGAAGGAGGGAGCTGGGCGACAGGGTGCAGGCTGGTGGGGTCCAACTCGAAGTCGTCGTATCAGGAACAGTCGAGTGAGCCTCTTACATGTCTGCCTATCGTGCAGGAGTTGGTGGATGAAGGACGAGGCTCCACCAAGAGCACCCTGGTGGATCACAGCTTTGGGCTCAACACTGTACTACGACATCCGGACGATCTAGTCTTGCTGCCTCCGCAGCAGTCCATCGTGAAGCGCCGTCCCTTCCACGAGGTGAAGATGGGTCCTACCTGGAATGAGGCTGTCTGACTAAACTGTTGTTTGGTGCGCGAAGCACGACTGTTGTATGTTCGGTTCTTTGTTTGGCCATCAGTGCACCCAACATGCACTTGTCCGAGCTCTTATGGTCTGTCCTCAGGCGGAAACGGATCTTCGTCCGTTCGAAATGGAGACCGTCGAAGCCGCCAGAGCCAGCTGGAGACAGGGCACCAAGTTTGCGCTGGCGCGTGGGCTGCCAACATTGTGCTCCACGCCATACAAGATTGTGCGCGGCAAGCTCAATCTTCGACTGTCGGAGGCTTACCTCTGTCCGAACGCCAGCTGCTGCCGGCTGGCATGTGTGCTACGATGGCCATTATTACTGGTACAATTACAATTACTGGTGTTAGAACAGTCTTTCCCATTGTGGTTTGTAAAAAGGTCCCTCCACTCCAAGGGGGCGCATGGACACCTTTTGCTGGAACTGTGCTTCTGCACAGGTCAGGGCATGCGCAGCCCAGTCAGAGATCTTACGACCTAGACCCCACAGTATGAGAGATAGTTGTCTACAACCCTGTAGAATTGTTGAAAAGGCTGTTAATCTGCATACTTTGCCAGCTCAAGTAAATTCCCTGCCTCTTCAGATAAGCTTGGATGATAAGAAGTCGCAGTTCGCCAGCATGTGAACCGTAGTCTAAACTGCTTCAAGGGGCTTATGCTTGGAGGGTCAGGGGAGCTAAGTACGTAGGTTAATATTAGGGTAACTAGAACTACTGTAACGGTTATAGGCGCTATTAACCTATTTACTCAATCCTGCCTCTGCTGAATCCGGCCATAATCCTGAGGCCGGGGCGAGCAGCTACGGTTGTCGCAGTCTGCGAGGCGTCTAGCCGACTGCCACCAAACAAGGTGTACCTCATGCAGGACGGCGTGGCACTCGTTGGGTGGTTCGTGGCAGCTCGTCTAGATGCTGAAAACTCCAATATAAGTTGCAGAGTAGGCAAGACGTAAAACTAGTGCGTCTCGAGATCTGCACGTCTCAACACGAGGCGTGGCGGTACCCCTGCCATTCGGTCAGCGTGCCGCCACCAGTTGGCGTGGGCATCGCCGACAACGCTGTCACATACAGCGACGAGGGCCATGGTAACACACTGATGGCAGGCGTCGGCATCTAGACTAATCTGAGCTAGCACACATAGTCCTGCATCCGTTATTGGGATCTCTCTTGACTCCTCTACAGTGAAGTCTCTATATTGATGTGCATTTGCTCACAGGAGGTGATCTTGATGGAGATCTTGTGCAAATTAGTTTCAACGAGAAGCTTATTGCCCTCATGCGAGCTGCACAAGCAGCTGTCGAACGGCTCGCCCCGCTTCGCTGGCGGCTTGAAGCAGATGTCATCGACTCGATGACGGAGCCCGCCACAGGTTGGGAGAACAGCGGCGCGGAAGCGCGAGACCATTCGCCTGAGTGCTGTCCTTTCAGATTCTGCTGCGGTGGTTAGTGTGCAAGTTTGTTTGTAGTGTGTTGCCCATCAAGTTTGTTCCGATGCGCGGGTGGAGGTGCCGAGTTCTTGGCGCATGCCCGCAGGGCGAGTTCCTACAATGTCAGGGGGCACATGTGTGCTTTACTGGAGCGCATTATCCACAATGCGCTGGAAGAGGAGACTGAAGGCAACCCTGCATTGACACTTGAGCATTGGCAAGCACAGACAGCGACGGGTATAGCAAGGATGGATGGGGACATGAAATTTGTTTGCATCAGGCGACATCGGCGAAGGGATGCTTGGGCTGCTTCTCTTCACTTCTGTGGCACATCATGTGTTCCTGCTGCGTTGCTGACACCGTCCGTGTCGTATTCGCAGCATGTGTAGCTATCTTGAGGTCTAGCATCGGTGTCCAGACTTGTTCTTGCGTGCCCAGGTTAGGAATGTCCCCAACAAGTGGGCCCTCGACGACTTCCTGCGCCTCGCTGCCAAGATCCTTGAGTAGCATGGTCTCTCAAGGAGAATGCGATGTGATTGTAGCCAGTCGCCATGTGGGAACCCAACCAGGATAAGTATGCATGTATATGTATCTATATACATATACACTAGCATACAATATGTACATATACAGACATATGTATATATTCAATGTGTGTATATATATATACACATCGTAATCCACACATGCAAGTGTTCTGCGCAGGAAAGGTGATCGCATCGCGGCAAACCTCAAAGCTCACTTTGTGATGCCGCTGGGCAGCCCGCCTCGTGAAAGGGTCTTGGAGGCTGTCGCCTCCTGGCCACAATTGTCCGGCATCGTACGTTGTAACATGTGCATGGTTGGCTCTGGTGTGCTGTGGAAACTTGCCAAGCTTAGGACGAACACTTGCTGTGCCGGAACAACAAGCTCGGCAATATCTGGCTGCCGCCAGGACGCCGCGTCCTTGGTGCTCGTGCGGCGAGCCTGCTGATGCCGCACTTGCACTCCTCGCAGCCCGTACGCTTCAGCAGGACGCTGATTCGATTGAACCCGTCTTTGGACTTGTATGACGATAACGATGTTGCAATCCTCCATATGCAGGAAGTCGTCAGTGGCTGTCGACACGGCTTCCCACATCAAACAGGTCGCAAAAGGGCACCTAAAGCACAACCGCCCCAGCGCCTGGCGCGGCATGACACGGCCAGAACTAGAGAAGATCTTGACAAAGCGGCGCAGAGTCGCGATAAGGAGCAGTCGGAGCTGTAGTTGTGCTCTTCTATTCCTTTAGCTATATGCAGTGTGCTGCTTGTCTTTGTCCAGCACCTTGCAGGAGCTTGTCCAGCCTGCTGTACTCGCCACTGCCGTGAGTGACAGCTGTGGAAAAAAGCGCATCGAAGGGGTTGGGCGCAAGTTTGGGTCCGTAATAGTCATGACCGTGCCTCGGGGCGTTCATCATTCGCAGCTGTGATTCCATCGAGTTTTGACTGTTGATGTATGTTCACATCCTCGAAATGAGATCCCACCACAAAGCTCCTAGGCTGAAACTTACGGATCTCACCAGAGAATGTAGCCTAAAGAAACCAGCGCGTCCAACTGGCACCCGCGAGGCTCCTAGGCTGAAACTTACTGATCGCACCACAAAATGTAGCCTGAAGAAACCAGCGCGTCCGACTAGCACCCTCAAGGGTCCTAGGCTGAAACTTACCGATCGCACCATAAAATGCAGCCTAAAGAAACCAGCGCGTCCAACTAGCGCCCTCAAGGCTCCTAGGCTGAAACTTACAGATCTCACCACAAAATGTAGCCGCATAAGCCGCCGGGCCCCGTCGTTCTCGGAGCGGCCCACTATATGGCTCTCTTGTGTGCAGGAGGAGCCGTGCGATGAGGATGCGGAGGCTCGGAAGGGGACCCACGCTGCAAGAGTTCCAGAGCTACGATTACGTTACCCTATCATTGCTTGTGGCTGTAAGCAAGTTACCAGCGAAGAGGTTCAGAGCCACGATTACGTTACCCCAGCAATGCTCATGAATGGGAGCAAGTTGGTACCCCGTCGTTAGTGTTGCCAGTGCTGCTTGTGCTGCTGGTGTTGTGCTGTTGCCGCAGTTGCCAACAATGACAAGCAACTTCTATTTATCATTCTCTTGAGGGTTTAGGGTTTAGGGTTTAGGGCGACGAAGTCTTCGTTGGGAATGGTCGCATCATTGATGTTGCTTGGCTTGATTTGGAAATCGCTGTTGGACATTCTGGCAAGCTCAGCTTTTGCACGCACATCAAATCCACTAACCTGGGGCACTATATCACTGCCGGTTCGTATCATTCACCGGCTACTTTGCAAAACTGGCCAAACACAGTTGCGACGATGTGCCTGCAACTCCACGAATGGAACAGCATAGTCCCGTCAGTGACGCGCCTTACAAACTGCTTGGCAGCGCGACTCTACCAGCACAGCTTGCAGATGATGTTAGCTCGGGCTCGGGCTCTTTGGCTGCAACGCTCTTCGCTGCTCCAGCCTGAGAAGCCGCAACGCGGTCGTCGCTTTACAGCTCTGGTCATGCCATACCACAGGTGCTGGAGAGATATCGGTCTTGCAGGTTTGGTGAAGCGATTAGACGATGAGCTGAATGCGCTGGGAGTTCGCATGAACTCTTTGCGATTGGTTTACAGCAATCCTTATCCCCGCTTGTATGTCAAAGTGAGGAACCTTCTTCGTTGAAAATTGTCTGCAGATGTTTACTGGAGGATGGAGGAATGTAGCCCTCAATGCTTGCAGTTCGTCGCCGCGAACACTGTCAATACACACGCCGTTGAACCTTGAAACTTTGAAAAACTAGCTTTTCGGCTATGCGCATCGTGATCTTTGCACGTTGAGCGACCTCGAAGTAGGGAGCGCCTGTACTCTACTTTACAGAGCCGTTGTGCATAATCATCACTTTAGTGGTTGTTGATTCTGCTTTCGGCAGCAACACAGTTTGGCCCGAGCCGAACGCGCTAAACCCGTCGAGGCTACACTCCGGGTAGGGTGAGTCCGGAGCGGCGGGGGCCAAAAGAACGTGCTGTGCGGCTGGCGTGCTGAGAAGACGCACTGCTCCACTCAAGCAACCCTAAACCCTAAACCTTAAACCCTAAACCTTAAACCCGAATCCCCTAAACCCTAAACCCTAAACCCTAAACCCTAAACCCTAAACCCTAAACCCTAAACTAAGCGAGGGGCCGAAACCGTCAACGACAGGCCCCGAGCACTGTATGTACTGTACTAAAGTATACTATGCCATACTATACTCGACTAGAACGACTATATGTTTTTTAGAGGCCCGTGTCAAGCTGAGGAGCTTCGGAGATGCTTGAGAGAGATTCGAGCCTCGGCTATCAGAGCTGGACGCAGTGAGCCCTGAACAAAAGGGTCCCCCCTGCGAGTCTACTGGGTTCCGATTATTGCGGGTTTTTAGGTTTAGTATAGGAGCCTTCATGATTAGAGTAGGGTTTTGGGGTCCATTCTACTATCAGTGTATACGGGCTTTGAGGGGATGTTCCTAAAAATAGGTGGTTATATGCTGCTAGGCACGAGGGCTTGGAGGAGGCATCTGTGCGGCAGCCTTTTGCATGAATCTCTGGATCCCCCGGCCCCAGCGTGCAGAAGCTATGGGTGAGGGACGGGTTGGGGTGTAAGGTTTGGGTTTAGGGTTTAGGGTACAGGAAGGGTCGGGACATGGCCTAGTATAGGGGTTTGGAAGAACTAGGCATCATGTCCCCTTATAGTCCCAATGCCTTGCTTGTTTATACCATATTAGAGCCCAAAGCCCTATTCTAGTAAGGCCCGCCTCAAACACCCTTTACAGAACCTGTAATGGAACCCTAGTAGACCCCTCAAGCCTTATTCGAATAGTTACGGCCCCTCTATTCTGGGTTGGCCTTTCCGAGCATCTTAGGGTGATCCTGGCTGCCGACGCGGAATCATCCACAACTGGCCAGCAACTGAATGCCTTGCAAGAGAAGGTTGGGGACTGTACTAAACTAAACTTTACTGCGCTGTGCTAGAATGACTGTACTAAGTATATCATACTATGCTAGAACATGATACATCGTCTAACATAACAAATGATAACTGACAGGGAATGCCTTGCCGAAACTCTTGCCGTCACAGTGACCCAGATTCCACTGCCGTAAGCCCGAAAAGGGCCAAGTCCCTCGACCCCCAACACCCTAAACACCTAAACCACTCGTGCCCTCTGGTCAGATTGCAGTGGTCCAGTCCTTACAATCCACACTCTTCGACACCTATGACCATCCGAATCCTCCTGCCACTCGGCATGGCACCGGTCGAATTTAGCCGAACGTGCTTTTGTAGCGTTAAGTGTAGGGTTTAGGATTTAGGATTTAGGGTTTAGGGTTTAGGATTTAGGGTTAGGGTCTTCAGATTTTTGCCGACAGGAACTTCAATAGCTTCAACGCTTTGAAGATTAGTGGTCTGAACACAGCGCTGCATGGTCAGAGGCTTCCTGTTGCAGGGAGCACGCTAAAGCCACAACTACAAAACCCTGGACCCCAAAACCTAACACCCCCCAAACCCTAATATCTCCAAAACCCAAGACCCTAAACCTGCAGTTGCAGACCAAAAAGAACCCTACAACACCTAAGCCCTTCAAGCAAAAAGAGGAAAAACAGATCGAGGCCTCTGCGCTGGCCACTTTCGAGCAGCTCATTCCAAGGGAAGCTGCTCGCTTGACATGTGCTCTTGAAGATTTAGGGTTTAGGGGTTTAGGGTTTAGGGGTTTAAGGGTTTAGAGTTTAGGGTTGCAAGCGGATTGTGGCTCGGCTTTTTCAGCTGCTCAACTCGTAGAGGTCCCCTGGATCTTGGCTCCCAGCACATGGGACTAAAGTTCAGCAAATCCCCCTCGTAGCAGCCGAGGTGTAGTCCATCCGCCGCCGTCCAATCTGTGTCCATCTGCTGCATCTGCCCATGCTGCCAGCAATGTCTGTCTGCTCTTGAGGAAAGCCCCGTATCCTCATCTTTTGATGTTTCCACGGTGTCCTGAACCGTTCGTTTTGCAATTTTACAGAGCAGCATTCCCACAGGGGCACATCATTGGGGGAAGGGAAGGTCAGCGAGAGGGAGGCAGTTAGCCAACGCAGCTCCCAACAACTCTGGCCAGCAACTGAAAGAGAGGAAGCCTGGAGCGGGGTACAAGAGCCTACCCCAATTCCGTGGACCATCGGCGAAACCCTTCGGAAGCAACCACACCAGTACGAGGATGTGTTTGGAAATGCCGAGGCGGCCGGAGCTGAGGGCGCCTCTGAAGTTTCCTAGGCAGCGGGGCTAGAGCCGCGAAGACCCCGGGCTCTCCTGTCGCTTCCGGTCTCACTTGGTGCCTTCCATGTCCAGGCGTCCCAGTCACGTGAACTCCACACCACGAGCTGTAGTGCCATGTTGCTGCCTCTCCTTCCTTCCTCTGGATCCGCGGGATGATTCGTCGTGCCGTACTTCATTCCTTCACCTCGCCGATGATTCGGAAGGAGAAGCGAGACATCCTTCTGCCAGCCTCGTCACCTGCTTCAGGTACGCGAGGAGCTGCGAAGCACCTCTGTGCAGCCACTAGCCACCGCCTTCCTGAACAGGGCTTTCTCTTCTTCCGCTCAATCGTCTCGACATAAATCAGCGTCGCACGTTGGTATCCAACGAAGCTTTCCGGTGCTCCATCGAAGATTGGCACTCCATCCCTTGCAGAACGCAGCTCTGTCATGTTCCAGAAACCTCAGCTGCGGGCGCCTTTGAGGTCCTTCACTCAAGGCCTGGAACCTCCACATCCTCTGATCTGAATGGGTTCCGTTACCATGCAAGCGGCTTCGTGGCACACTAGGCTCGGCAAACAGAGCGGTCCTGTTTCTGGACCCAAAGCTGCTTCCAACCCTTCGCGTTTGGATGCATGACAAGCCATTCAGCTTGCAAGGGTTTAGGGTCTCAGGTTCAGGGTAGAGGGTACAGAAGTCATTCTTTGGACGGTTCTTTTCCAAACTTCTATAAAGCAAAGGTTACTGTAAGGGTTACTATAATTGGCATGAAGGGATTCAATGTAAGCGGCTGAAGAACGAGTCATACTATTCCTCACGGCTCTTTATCCTGATTGTAGTACAATATGCCCCCCAAAAAACAAATCATTAAACTTGTTATAGCCGTATATTATGCTGGGACGGGCTTCGGGGCTTGGATGTTCGGGTTTAGTGTCTTTGGTTTAGGTGTTGGAGGCTTTGGGCTTTTCGAGGTGTTGGAGTTTTGGAATTCAGGTTTTTCAGGTTAGGCCTTAAACACCAAAACCTAAACCCTAAGCCCGAAGTAACCCTAAACTTTAGGCTTCAAAGCTGAGAGGTCAGGAGGCTACACAGGATGCGCTGCGACGGGAGCGGCGAGGAGCCGTGGCATCTTTGGGATAGGCTATCCGATAGGGCTTAGGTTTAGGGTTTCGGGTTGATGGCTTGCGTTAAAGATTTCCGACGCTTTTGGCCGTGGCACTCAATGCGCCTTGCCAGGACCTGGTGAGCCCAGTTTCGACTAAGTTTTCAAACTCACGGCAGGAGGACAGGCCGGTGACTCCGATGTTCGGTGGTGTAGTGCATTGGAAGACTAGTGTGTGAAGTACTGGCCGGTGATGCTCTCGGTAGGGCCCCGAAACCCTAAACCCTAAAACTCTAAATCCCAAAACCCTAAACCCTAAAGCCCTAAAGCCCGAAAACCCTAAACCCTAAACCCTAAGCCTTTCTGAAGGAAGAGAGTCGCTCGTGGCCGGCCCCATGGAACAACTCCCCAAACTGCCGACAGGGAACGTATAAGATCCTCGATTTAGGGCTTAGGGTTTAGGG